TTCTTATCAATTCGGGCAAGAAACAACAGAACTTGGTAGCCATTGACTACCACAACCAAGTGACCTCCTTTTGAAGCGCAAGGATAACGGACTTGCAATTTTTTCGACATCTCTTTATTCAAAATATAAATTATGAAGTTGGATACACCAATGAAGTAATTAAAAGCGTCAACGAGGTGTCGAAGTTTTTACAATTGCACTCACGTACGCTACAAGTTCTGAAGTTCCTATCGTCGCTTCTCCGCGCTAGTCGCAAACCAAAGAATGATCATGGGAAGAAACGTGTAAAAAATCTCGAACATAAACTCGTAAAAATTAATGATTTCAAGTCAAAATAACATTTCAGGAAGCGTCAAAAAATATGTATAATAAAACAACTACAGAAATTATAGATAGGAATTGATAAGAAATCGAAGTAAAGCTAAAAATCGAAGGTATCCAAAAACACGAAACAAAACTGGGGAAGCGAAACAGAAGTAGGATTAAGGAACTATCAAGGAGTGAATAAAGTAACGAGGTTCGGCGCAAAAATGCAAAAAAAAATTACCCACCAGGCATGTCAGGTTGAAATAACGTCGATTGAAAGTTGTTTCAACGAAATCAGATTGTAATCAGCATTGTTTCAACGTCTTCCGCTTGGAATGAAGCGACTACACCCGCGAGGCCCAGTGAGGCTCGGAGAGGCGGCGGCAGAGGCCCAGCAGCACAGCCAGGAAGAGGCAAACTGCAGTCTATACTTCCAATATCAAGCTAATGAACAAATATCATGACATATAGTGTGACAGTTTTTTTATAATACAACTATTTCAATCAAATTTAATGCTTCATTTAACTCGAGATGAAGTGCAGACAAAGCTCCTCAATATTAAAATGGCAACACGAGACAAATAAATTTTAACATCAGTTTTGTACCCACAAACTTCTCCTTGCATCAGGCGCCGTGGGATTTATTTCTGACGAGCTTTGAGGAGTTAATACGTATTTTTGGAATTGTGCATATGGCGTTTCATATTAGCCATCGTTTAATAAACAAGTAAAACTTTTAATACGTTTTCTAAGAGCCTTCGTTTCCAGGCTGTGCCGGCTTCTCAGCAGCGGTCGAGGTCACACGTACAAAACGCTTCACAAATTCAGCTTCACTCTTGTTGGAATACATCATCTTATTGAATTACCTTAACCCTGAAGTACAGTAATGATATAATAACATTAATTATCATATTTACGTAATATTTTAGCCAATAATAAAGAACTGTTAAGTAAAATATCTGTATCTTTTATGTTCGCAACAAAGTTGGTGCAAATCTCTTAACAAGTTGCCTTGCAAACGAAAAATAGGCCTTCTAGGTAACACTTACAATAAATAACTGAGATTAATAGCAAGCGCTACGAAAAACAACTTTTTTGGTTGATTTAGATATTAAATTGGTGCAAATGCTCGTAGCATTAATTTCTAGCAAGTTCTAGTTGATGTAAACTATAATCGAATATGGTTTCGAGGGAGACATTAGCTGTTTTATGGAAAAAATTGATAAAATTAGTTAGATGAAACAGGGCCATCTGAGGCTGAAAATTTATTCACAACATGGCACAGCCAAGAAATTAGTTAAATCAATCAATACCGTCTAGTTAAAACTGGGGGCGATCATTTTGGGTTTCACCAAAAAACTTTGCGCACCGTGCAAGTTGCGATCAAGGGATGTTGCTATCACATCACATATGTGGCGCCAGCCAATGAATGTAAAATACATGCCGCTGGTCCATATATATTGAATATATAGCTTCATTCACTGCCTCAGACTACAGGACTGACCCGCGATGTAAAGCGCCGTACAGTTGTTGGTTTTAGAAACGTCCTATTTTTGGGGGAAAGTTTAAAGCGAGGGAAATTTATGGAAAAATGCGATTCACAAAAAGATTTGATTTAGGATATTTTGTGGTGAAATTATAACCGCGAGTGAACTTTATTACAGAAGAAAATGCTAATGAAATAGATATTATCATTTAAAAAATAAGCCACATGAATGAATGAAAATAACCAGCTGCAGGATACTTAAATGAGTACCAAAGTAAATAAAGCTTTTAACTTTAATAATTGCCCATAATTTAAAATGAATGCCCATAAAGGCAACGAAATTCACCACAATCGGGGCGTCAGATCTTAAAAAAAAAACAAAGACGAGCAGGAAAGAATGAACAATTCACTCACTCAGATAAGTGAATGGGTCATCTTGTCCAAATAGTGCCACATTTTCTTACCTATGTTGCCTTCATATTTGGCCCAATATTTAACATAAGAAGAAAGTAACGCATGAAACAACAAACAATCGACAGCGATTTTTCCATGATCGAGAGCGCGACCCATGTGCATTGTACATATCTTGAAAACCAATAAAAAATATCTCACCTACCGCACAGAGAACAGACTTAGCACTGATAGGTTATTTTGCTGGGCCAAACATGATCATGATGACTCACATAAGGACTGAAATGTGGTCGTTATTTGGACAAAAATCAATCATTTCTGTGAGTGTAGAGAGACAGGGTCGCTACGTCACTAATTCCTCGGCGACGTGAATTTCTTATCACGAACAAAATTTGATCAAATAAAACATTGATAAACAATAATAACACAAGAAGTAATATTGACATATTACCAAGAGTAAAATAGATATTTTTTGATTCTTTTAAATTATCGACATTGATATTACATAACTTGAAATCGTGAAAAATATAGTACAAAATAAGAGACTTTATTGAAGGTAACAATGCAGAGAAATTGTCTACAGATTGTTCAGGATTGTGTGAGAAGAGTACAACGGAATGTTTAATAAGCATGAAATATTAATTAGGAAAAACTAACTATGAATGGCTTTCGTATTCTTGCTGGCAACGCTGCAGTTAGAGAAACGGCCTCCCCACGCTTTGTCGTAAAAAAATGCTAAAAAATATTCAACAAAAATTGTCAATAGCTTCTTTTGTAATGCATTACGCCCTCCTAGATATTTGATAAAAAATCTTGCAATTTACCACTAACGGGAAATTCTTCATCAATTTCAGGTAAAATGACATCAGGAGACAAAATCTCGGCAGCGAAATTTTTTTCTGGCCACAATAAACAGAACCTGGATTAATAAAAAGGCCGTGAATATACGTAGTTAAAAAACGTGCCGTAAAGGAAGGACAGAGCCTATGCCGTGTATGGAACGCTTAAGCGATGTATAAAGCACACAGCAAATTATCCTGAATACAAATGAGAAATACACACTATCATAGTACACCACGAAGCATTAATATAAAAATAATGTGGAAAATAAATACAATCTCTAAAGTTAGCTAATTTCACACAAATTCCGAATAAGATACGGTTCGAAATACATCAATCAATAAACATTTCTCAAAGTTTAATAATAATTTACGTTGAATAACGAGACTTAGAACCAATTATTTATTTATTGAGACTTGACTTAAGTCAGTCATGGAAGATGCGTGACGCCGAGACCGATCTCAGCCATGGTTGAATTAATACATGTATTAATTCAACCATGGGTCAACCTTGTATTAATTCAATTATGGTTGAATTAATACATGTATTAATTCAACCATGGGTCAATCTTGTATCAATTCAACCATCGATCTCAGCAACGTCAGAGCGACGCTGAGGCGGCAACGTTCTCTTCAATATTACTTTAATCGTTTCCTTTAATATTCATTTTATTCTTTGTCAATTGTTTTCTTTAAGTCTTGTGCACTCATTCCCTTAAAAACCACTAAGTTTTGTTCTTCACGTAGCATCGTAAGCAGGAAAGTTTGTTTTCTAATTTAGTGTTCCGTTTAGAGGCACGAATTTTCAACAGAATAATTCATCGGCAATTGTCTGATGATGATGAACATTGAAGTTCTCTGCGACATAGAATGGTTAACCATTGAATGATTTATTTAATTACCCAATGGTGTACTTAATCATCAAATGGTTTACTTAAATACTTAATGGTGCAATAAATAAACTTCGTTGTCTTACTGGAAGTGGAGCGCGAGTGACAAAGCTTGTGGGTAAAATCTTTATTGAAGAGAACGTTGCCACGCCATTAAGAATGTCACCCTGTTAAGGAGGAGCTAACGTACTGAACAACCTCATTAACTTAACCCAAATCGTGAACTTGAACTACCTCATTAACTTAAACAGCCCCACTAACCTAATCAACCTCATTAACTTGACTAAACCATCAACATCAACCCTACGGAGATGGACGTCAAGCTACATCTCTGATCACGAATTTATTTTCTTTCATAAAATCAAATAAATTATATCTCATACCCGGCAATGACACCACTTTTGATTGGTCGCATGAAAAATATATTCGCCCTGCGACGAAAAATTTTTATAAGCCCTTCTACTAAATAATGAAAACATGACACTGCTACCCACTCAATCAGCCCTTGAAATAAATTATCCCACTTAATATCAACTGCCTCTCGACATCAATCTTCTACCACTTTAATTATTACTGAAATTCATGTAAACAGCTCCATTTCTTATTTTTTTAATACATTAACCCTGCGTTAAATTAGCTGCCTGATAATAATACCAAAACTTTGTTCAATTTTCTACGACTGCAAATAACGCGACCTCTTCGACCAGCGACCGGTAAACCTGCCAACAAAATCTCTTAAGTTAACGAGAAAACAAATTCTTAATAATTAAATTATTCAATGAATAACACTGCATTAATAAATTAATTGACGTCATTAATGCCCAACTACGTTCTTTGGTTAATAACTATTTTACCCATCATTAAATGTCCAACTATGTATTTTAATTAATAAATATTTTACCCATGGAATCCAGACAGATATTAATGTAATATTTGGAAAATGTCAAGTTTATGAATTTGTGAATGATGAATCAGAGACTTGTAGAAAGTTGAAGTCTGCAGGAGGAAGGCAATTGACATGCCAGAGTTGAGCTGTACGCCAATCACTCATAATTATTAATTATTATTATTAATTAAAATTATTATTAATTATAATTATTAATAATTGTTATTCGATCACTTCACTCGCAAAGAACTGTCATAAATAAAAAATTCAATAGAAAAATTCTCAATGAAAATATCGTGATTTTCTTAACCATTTAATTGTTTAATAGTTAATTTACGATTGAAAAGAATCAAATGATTTCATAAAACGCTCTTTATTTAATGGATACCATTTGATGGAGACTCGAGGAAGGCAGGCATGATTTTAGTTATGAAACCGAAAAAGAACGACAAATTCTGGAATGGAATAAGAATATGTAAAATTCACAGCAGTCCACCGAGAGGAACACAAAACCCTCCAACAAATTCTAAATACTGAGTTTATGATAAAATCGAGATTATTTTCACTTGGTGTACTCGCTGCAACATTTCTTTACTTCAGAGAATTGGTGAGCGCAGTTTTTTCGTTCCCATTGTAGAATCCTACTGTAAATTATTCTTAATAATCGGACTCATTATTCAGCAGAAACTTGAACCCTATACCCTGACGAACGATCGTACAGAAATGAAGAAAAGAAAAGATCAACATCCGATTAGGAATCCGATTTATAATGCCCATGAAAATTAAACTTCCGACCAATATACTTCCTCATGGTTCTCTACCTGTTGCCTTTATATTTGGCTAAATATTTAACATAAGAAAACAGTAACGTGTGAACCAACAAACAGTCGACAGCGATTTTTCCATGATCGAGAGTGCGACTCATGTGCATTGTACATATCTTGAGAACCAGTAAAAAATATCTCCCTGCACAACAAAATATACCGCAATTTTAACGTGAAAAGTAATTAACGACCTTAGATTATAATGAAAAATTTCCCGAGCGCAGACGACGTAAGTTATCAAAGTTTTTTCGACAACGCCCAACTCAAATACTTCAAAGGCTTAAAAATAAATTACTATTATTAATCATATTTTTTAATGTATCTTCCTGCAAACGGAAAACCCCATTTTTAACAACGAGTTCACTATTTCTAACAAGATTTTTTGATCGCTTCGAACAATACAGTAGTAAATAATAAGTCCAGCTAGGAAAAATTCAAAAATTATAAATGAGCTAAATATAAACAAAATAACGAACACTGGGAAATTGGGATACTAATTGTTCGACTCTTGGGGCTTGTCGATAAATAAACTGTGGTAAACGATGCGATAATGTCGATAAATGCGATAACTGTGACACTGAACTGCGATAATGTCGATAAATGATCTGCGGTGAACGACCTGGCTAGCAGAAATATAAAAAAAAGATTGAATTATTGCACGTTTGCCCAAAAATATAGGAAAATAAGATACAATAATCACACATATGATCTAAAATAATACTAACTATAATTCTCGCAGGTTTACCAGAATGTTCAAAATTGTTTCTTCCGTTGGTTTTCTCAACATAAAATAAATCAAGACACAGAAATTATCGCAGGTCGCTGGTATCCTCTTACTGAACGTAAAATAAAGCAAGATACAGAAATTATCGCAGATCGCTGGTATCCTCTTACTGAACGTAAAATAAAGCAAGATACAGAAATTATCGCAGGTCGCTGGTATCCTCTTACTGAACAAAAAATAAAGCAAGACACAGAAATTATCGCGGATCGCTGGTATCCTCTTACTGAACGTAAAATAAAGCGTAAAATAAAGAAATTATCGCAGATCGCTGGTATCGTCGTCCTCTGCATCGATCATGTTCTGTATCTCTTCCTCCCACTGGTCGTCCCCCTTGGAGGGCTTAGCGCCCCCGCCCTCCACCACCTCGAACCCCCCCAGCTCCTCCCGCAGCTCTGCTTCCCAGTCTTCTTCCCCTTTGTCTGCAACAAATTAAACAATCAGTAAAAGCGCAAAACACATAGATTAAATACACGAGTACAATGATAAAATATTACTAACTTTTATTAATAAAAACTATCACTAAAATTATAATACAAATAAATGAATTACACGAGTACAATGCTACGAACTCTTATTAATAATATCCATTCCTAAAAGCTTAATACAAATACATGAACTACACGAGTACAATGCTTAAAGATTACTAACTATTATTGCTAATAACCATCTGTAAAAGCTTAACGAAAATACACGACCTACACAGTACAATGCTAAAATATTACAAACTATTGTTACTAATAACCATCACTAAAAGCTTAACACAAATACACGAACTACACGAGTGTGCAATGCTAGCAAATATGACCTAGCAAAAGTAGTGATGATACGCGCCTGTTATTGAATATTGTGAATAAAAATGGAACAAAACTCATGCTTGTACACCAGTCGATAATAAATTGAAAATTTGTAAATGATAAATATTCAGCAAATAAAAACAAAGCAGACTGTACACAAGATGTATAAATATATAGATATGCGTGATGTGAAATTTGTCTATAAATTTCAGTGTATAGTGTTAGGAACATGCTGGTGTTAATTTTTGTATGTCTTCTCTTTTCAGGTGATAATTTAGTTGAATAAAGCTACATTCTAGCCAACCTTTGTTTGAGACCTACAAGACTTTGAGGTTCATTACAATGCGTTAAATAATTACAAGTGGAAAAATAATCAACAAATAAAACTTTTGGCTGGCCTAATGGATGTCATCAAAGTACGACAGCAGAAATATTTCATTTTACTTTGTTTCATAATTAATAATCTGAAACATGATGCATACCTGGGGCTTAATTAAAATGCGTGCCTGCCTGCACACGGGACAGCGGAGAGCTTTGATCTCCATACGTATTATGCGAGATAAATAAAATCAGCTTGCGTCTTAACTTTGTCTTGTGATAATTACCATTATTCGAAACCATTAATAACTTGGTGCCGTAAATCACGGTGCATACATGTTCTTATAGTCAAAGAACTTATACAGGACTATAAGTCCTATAAGGTCTTATACATGACTTATAGACCAGCTGGGCCTATACTTTCAAAAAAAGTTAGGAGATCGTAAGTTCATCAGCCAATCATTGACGGCCTTTCAAGCAAAATCCACCAATCACAGACAAGAAAATAGAGCGCAAGTACTTATGTTCACTTAGCGAGTTTTGAGAGTATGGCCCCTGTAACCTTCGTTACTTTGTTAGAATCTGACTGTTAGAGATCAATAATTATACGCTGTGATGCGGTATAGGGTAGGTTTCCACCTAATATTACTGATGATTCCACATCAAGTAGAACGAATATTCAACGCTTCAAATTCAGGGTAACTAATACACAAACTTAGGGTATGAACGGTAAGGGAGTATAATGAATGCAGTAGAGCAAGTTTCTAATGATTTCCACTCAGTTCAGTCTGATCTGATTTTTAACTAAAAAATTATACAGTGCAATAAGATCGGAAGATCAAAGTCTCTGGTATCAACAAAAAAAAAAAAAAACCTTCAGAAGCGTGACCAATACAAAACATAATAACAGGACGCAAGCAAAATAATAATGCTACCATTGCGAGACCTAAACTGAGATAAGCGAGTGAAAGAAATGAATCAGCTATGAGGAAGACATGATAATAATTGGAGACACGACCACGAACAAAAGACGGTTTAAGAAAGAGGCTAGAATAATTGAGATATAAAGTGACAAATTCAATAGTGAAATGGTAAAGAAAAAACTGCGAGAAGTGTGTAAATCTGATGAAGTAATAGCAGCATTGAAAAATGTAGAAGGAAAGAAGCAGCATCCAACCAGTAAAAACAGGAGCATGCGATAGTAAACTGTAGAAAGCTGGCAGGAGGTAAGGGAGGGCAAAAAAGCAGTGAAGGGAGCAAAATAGCGTGAAGGATGAATAAGTAGGTGTAGGTTGCAGCAATACTGCAATATGCAATAGCTCGGGATGAGGAACTAGCAATACAAGACGGAGAACTAGAGGTAGCACTAATTGGAGGCAACATAGAAGTGCTGGCGTGAAAAATGACAGTTACTAAAGAACAGTCACTGGTGAGTTAAGAACAGCAGTAACTCAAGTCGAAGTATTAATGAATAGACCGGAGCTGTTTTAAATGAAAAGGAATAGCAGCAAGGAAACAGAGGCAGCCTAACAGAAGTAGGAGCAGGAGATAAACGAAGCAGTAATTCAAGTAGCGGTAATAGAATATCACTACAGAAGTAGCAGCAGCAAGGACAGAAGTAGCAGCAGCAGGGACAGAAAAAGTAGCAGCAGTAGTAACAGAAGTAGCAGTAGGGACAGAAGTAGCAGTATGGACAGAAGTAGCAGTAGGGACAGAAGTAGCAGTAGTAACAGTAGTAGCAGTAGAAGTATAGTACTGACCGCCAGCGTGTCCAAGTCTCCATTAAGCGTATGGCCGGGAGACTATGAAGCTTTAACCTAAGGGACATACAAAGAACGCTGTGGTTAATGCAGCTCAAGAAGCCAGACCAAACCAAATACGCAGTCAGGGCTTAAGGTGCTTCTAGACGATGACAGTAGTGGCGGCAAGTACAACTTACGTATAGTAACCGCCACTATTTACCGTGATATTGGCCTCGTGTATAGGCGCTACTGGCCAAGAAAGGACCAAGTAACAACCCTTTAAACGAGGACAGTAGCATGATAATTAATGACGGTTGTACTGGCCAGTACAAGTGAAAGTTTTACTGGCCGCAATTAGAGGCCTCATATATAAGCACCTTTAATCACAAGTGTTAGCGAGACTTAACCTTCTACTGCCCAACTTATATTCAAGTCCCGCAGGATTATTATTTAAATTGAAAGTGTTACGTTTGAAAGAAAGATCGAGAAAGTTTGATCAAGCGAGCACAGCTCATTCAAACTCGAACTCAGTCGAGGTTTGCTTAATCTAACAGTTTCTAGCAAAGTAGTGAGATTTATGATAGAGAATATAAAAAGATCGTACATAAAAAAGTGAACTTTTCGACATATATGTCCTTTCATCTGTCATCACAACGCTGTCTGGTCAGGTAAAAATGCGGAGCAGAGATACGTACGAAAATTTAGTGATTTATGATTAATAAAGTTCTTGGATTATGACATAAGTTCTTGGAATGTGTGCATTGTTCTTGGAATATGACCCACTCATTTCTTCGAGTGTACAATTCTAGTAGAAATATCATATTGAGAAGAGAATGAAGCGGCAATGCTAGGCAGTAGAAGGTTAAGTGTTTTGAAATAGATTAAAATTTGTCATGAGAGACAATTGCCGAAAAAATCTTCATAAGACGAGCGAAAATTTGTTAAGGACAAATAGAAAAGAAACGAGATTATCCAAAGAAGTAGAAAAGACGAAGTCAGAGGCAATAAAAAACAAGAACAATCATGAGTTAACGGACGAAATGAGAAAATAAAGCAAAATTTTATAACATTGGGAAAAAACATTACAGGAAATCAGAAGATGCATAACGGAAAAATATAAAACTGGGAATATTTACAAAGAAATAAACAGTTTTCTTTGGCTAGTGAAAGAAAACTTCATGTATATCTTCGTCGTTTGCCTATCAAAGGTCAGCTTCAATCTAAATTGCATATTCACAAATAATTTCGAAAGAGAAAATGTCCAAACTATTCCAACATGAAAGCCAAAATACTAGTCCAGGGTTGCCAGACAGGGAGGCAAGAAAAAACGGCCAAATCTGCTCACAAAAAAGGCCAAGACAGACCAAAATTCTATAATTATTAGTGAAGATGTGATTGTTGGTGCAATAATTCTATTTATATGGGTTTTGATACCTTAAAATACAATAAATGTAAGGTGTCATAGATTTCTGCCGGCCAATGCAATTGAAAAAAGTACAAATCGCATAAATTGATGGGAAAAAACGAATAAATTGTCTGGTAAACCGAGTCATGGATTACCAAGGATTGCGGAATTTGATCCAAATAAAGTAAATTTCAAATATAGGACAGGATTTTAGAATTAAAATCATTTGGAAGTTTTATGAGATACGCATGATGGTTTACGGCAAGCCAAGATACTTTAGGTACGCAGGATTTACAAAGAGCAATGCGAAGAAAATTATTTCCGGAATTTACATAAATCAAAAACATGAAAATTTTAATGATGACGTTGGTAGACATCAACAATATTTGATCACCGAATAATATGAGCAGCTAAGGCAGAAATGGACGGCGTTATTTGAATGCTCATATTCACTATACACTAACAATATCACATGACATCATACAGCAAACACAGCATAATTTTGCTATTATTTACAGAAAGATTCATCGGTGTCTTGGATTCATTTGCTTGAAGATTTTCAAACTTTAAATATTGTAATTAATTTTTAGACACATGCAGGACGCGTGCAAAAATAATGCGTGAATACAAAGATAAGTCATGCAGGTTATTAAATATTCATTCAAACAGCAAGTTTATTCAAAGATACATATTGAAGCCGAAGCAGCGTAGCGGGGAACAAGATATACCAAAACTTTGCACCATAAAAAGTGATGGTGGTCTAAAAACACCTCAAAAAATAAGGCTTGAAATTCTTTTTAGTCAAGTCCGAGTAATTCAAATTTTAATATAAGGCAGTGAGCAACAAAAAGATTAAACCGATAATCGCTACTTGAAACCTCGAGGCGTGACCACGAGCAATATTTAGCAGTCAATATTAAACGCAATACGCACTCAAAAAAATAAATAGGTCATGTTGTCCAAACTTTGACATACTTTCGCGACGTAGCATTGATACGCCTTTTTGCCAGGCAGAAGTGGGTCATCACAATAAGGATAGTGATGAACAGTGATGCCGCCCACGCACTATCAAGATAGTGATGGTCCACACAATGGCAAGAAGTGCATCTCGATTTGGACAAAATCTCCCTATCTCTCTGAGTGTTGACGGGAATAGATGATGAATGAACGGTTTACCTGCTATGCCACTTTAAATATAACTCGGAATAAAGCATTGCTATTATCTTATCGCTTAAAAGCCTCACTACAATTACTCGACGAAGTGAAGGTTTTAATATTAATCACTTATTCGTTTAAGTGCGACAATAACAGACAAGTTCTAATAACATTTGCCCAGACAAACTGAGCGCTTTTCATTTTTTTTTTGCTCACGCAATTTATGACATGTTCTTTTTTGAACTGTCAACATTTGATCTTTGAACTTGTAGAACTAAATAAGTTTTCGATGAAGTAGTTTATAATATGCGACGTATAACCGAAATAGACAGGTTTCGCATTTCACAGGGCAAGCGTTATGCATGCAATTAAAAGCCCCATCCAGTCATTATTTAAAGTTTGTGTCATAAATTCGGTTTCAGAAACAATTTATGAATTCTTTGAGTGTCCTGTGGCTCGGCCTGCATGCTGCTTGCCATTTCAAAATAGAATACGGATCGCTTGACCACTGAGTACAATTTTTAAACAGAGTGCGAGTGCATTTTCATCAGTGATTTCCCTGCATCTCATGACGCTAAGTATTACATTCGAACTGCACGGTGTCACATAAATTTTAAATCCAGAGCACAAGTGCTGTTAGGTATTACATTCGAACTGCACGATACCATATAATTTTTGAATCCAGAGCATAAGTTCTGTTAGGTATTACGTTTGAACTGCACAGTGCCATATAATTTTTGAATCCAGAGCACAAGTGCTGTTAGGTATTACATTCGAGCTGCACGATGCCATATAAATTTTTACTCCAGAGTACAAGTGCTGCTACGTATTAAATTCGAACAGCATGACCCCATATAATTTTTAAAACCAAAGCACGAGTGTTGTTTTCAGACAGTTATTTGTACAGAATTTCTACGAAACGCCGGCGATTACCTTCGGCCTGCGTTACGCTGGAAATTTTTAAAACCAATGCACAAGTGCTGTTTTCACACACTTCTTTGTACAGAATTTCTACCAAACGCCAGCGATTACCTTCGGCCTGCGTGATGGTGGACACGCCGCGTTTAACGTCTTCCAAGTCTTGGCTGGACGGCTGGAAAGTTTCCGACACAAACTCGTGACTGTCAGCGGCGGCAACTTCTGGCGCCGCGTCTACAGGAGGCTCGGGCGCGGGGACTAGCGGGGGAGTGGGGTTAGCAGAGGAGGGGTAATAAACTAAATAATTGATAAAATTATGTCTTAATGCTTCAGAGTGATGAAATAAAGAAATGATGTGTTGATGTTTAGAAGTGATAAAAATAAAGAAATGATGTGTTGATGTTTGAAGCTAATAAAATAAACAAATGATGTGTTGATGTTTGAAGCTTATAAAATAAACAAATTATGTGTTGATGTTTGAAGGTGATAAAATAAACAAATGATGATGTTTAAAAGTGATAAAATAAACAAATGATGTGTTGATGTTTCAGAGTAATATATTAAAAAATTATGTGTTGATGCTTCATTATAAAGAGGTAATAAAGTAAGATTATGAAGCAAGCTAGTAAGGAAACGAAGGATAAAATAAAAACAGGGTCAAGGTACAGAGGGCAATATGTGGTAAATATTCAAATTATTTGAATTAGTAATAGTCGAATATTTTTGATCAGTTGAAATGACAATTCAACTGAAGAAAAATACGCAGCAGCCGAATCTAAATATTAAGAAATAATAAGCTATAATTTTAGAGTATGCCCTTGGAAATGGACAACGGGAAACAAGGATAAGTAAAACCAATTCCATGCTGCTTGGAATTTAATTGTAAAGGGAGAGTATAAGTTCTCAATATAGAGGAAAAATAATATATAAAGATGATCAATAAAGGATAATAATAATAATATAAAGAGGATCAATAAAGGTTAATAACAATATAAAGAGGATCAATAAAGGATAAAAATAATGTATAAAGATGATCAATAAAGGTTAATAACAATATAAAGAGGATCAATAAAGGATAAAAATAATGTATAAAGATGATTAATAAAGGTTAATAATAATATAAAGAGGATCAATATAAAGGAAAGACCAAGAGCAGACAATACCGAAATGAACGCTCAATGTAACGGCAAAAAATATATACTATTTTTCTTTGAGACAGTCATGCACGGAATAACTAATTAATGTCAAAGGCTGAATTAAATAGCTTTATTTAGAGCAAAAATCACGTACAAGTTACTGTGGATATTTTCAAACTGTAGAAATAGAATACGTTTTTTATGGCTAGATTTTATCGGCATAAAAATGCATTCAAGATTCTTCATTAATGTCACATGCACAAAGCACATTTAGCACCAATGAAACATTTCAATGGGAATTACATGCAAATGAGGTTGTAGGCATTATAAACATTTATGGACGTATAAGGCATGAAACATTTTAAAATGAGAATTCGGGGATAGGTTATTATAAGGATATTTAACATTAAACTAAATAAAGTAATAAAATAAAGTGATGGTAAAGCATATAAAGTGACCGGTCAATGAGTTGTGGAAGAGAAAATTCGAGCCCAATGAGAATCGACCAAAAATTCTAGGATATAAATATTTTAGAAAGACGTTCACTTGGAACGTCTTACTTGGAACGAGTAACACTATGAATCCCAGTAAAACTAATACTCAGTAAACCTATCGCTCACGATTACTGTACAGACTTTGTTGACATCACCAGCAACCATTGATGACATGAAGACAATACGATAAATAAGAATGTGCAAAGAAATGGGGTGACGAGGCTGGCTCCAAACTTTCAGGTGACATATCGACTAAACTTTGGTAACCTAGCTTAATTATGGGGATTCAATTGCATTTGAAAAACTTTTTTCTTCAATAATGCAAAAGAAGAATTGAGAATGGACTTTGACGGCGCTTGCCACGACGCCTTTATTAGATAATTGGGAGATTTAAAAACAATTTAAGGCTCCAATTTAGGTGGAGAAACAATAACCAACCCGTGAAAATTTTTCCTTTATTTACAGGCTTTGAGAAAAAATTGGAACCTTGTTTTCAGATTTTAATAAAAGAAGCCAAAAAATAAATACGCAACGAAGACATTGAATAGTTGTCGAAATTTTTGGAGAGATCGAATGCGCTAAACAAAATATAGCAAAAACAAATTCAACAAAACAACAACGGAAGCGGGAACCAGCCAAAATAAAAGAACATCAACCTGGACATGATCAACAAGCAATTATCCACCAATTCCTATTCAGAGTCAAAGATTTATGGCGACTTTAACATATGTCCTGATATGTTGGGAGTGAACCACTTCAATCAAGGACGTAAAGGCTTGCAGGTCGCACTTAAATATTCACTTGCATTACGCACTAAAATTTCCGATTGCAGAGCAAATAAATTTTCGATTGCAGAGCAAATAAATTTTCGATTGCAGTGCAAATAAATTTTCGATTGCAGTGCAAATAAATTTCCGATTGCAGAGCAAATGAATTTTCGATTGCAGAGCAAATAAAGAAAATAAAAACCGTTGCAGTGAGTGGACTCACCTTTGTTTGGTGCGTCGTTGGCGTTAGGAGCGTCTCCATCTTGCTCCATGGAGGACAGCTCCGTGCTCTGCCTGATGAGCCCGACGCGGTAGAAGTAGTTACGCCAGAACACCTCCTCGCTCACGCTGCCATACAATTCATTGTCAGTGGTGATGAATGATGTCCACGCAATTCATTATTAGTATAGTGATGAACAGTGATGTTGTCCACGCACCATCAGGGTAGTGATGAATAGTGATGTCCACGCACTTCATTATTAGTATAGTGATGAATAGTGATGAATATTGTCCACGCACTTCATTATTAGTACACGGTAGTGATGAACAGTGATGTTGTCCACGCACCATCAGGATAGTGATGAATATTGATGTCGTCCACACACTTCATTATTAGTATACGGTAGTGATGAATAGTGATGTCGTCCGATCACTGTCACTGTGACATCACTCACACTCTACATGACACATGGCACTTGCACCCGGCACTCCGCATAACACGCAGCACTTCACACTCCGCATTGCATGCAGCCCTTCACACTTTAGGCACTCACACTTTAGGCACTCACACTTTAGCCACTCACACTTTAGGCACTCACACTTTAGGCCCTCACACTCTAGGCACTCCACTTTAGGCACTCACACTTTAGGCACTCACACTTTAGGCACTCACACTTTAGGCACGAGCTCGAAGCGCATCTTGTCGAGGTTGGGGTCGGCGGCTAGGGTGGCCTGCGCTACGGGCAGGAATTGGTCCAAGTCGAACTCGAAGATCACGCCCGTGGGAGGGTTGCGTACGAAGTTCTTTCTCTCCTGCACATAACGCATTTGCGTTAGCGGGGCCACGTATAGCTTCGTATACTGATTTCTTGTCATTATTTCGAAATTTGTTACAATGTAAGGTCAGTAATATATGTACAATGAGCATAGAAATGTGCTAAATGAGTGTGAATCTAAATACAGTATAGCGTGCCGCTCAGTGATAGTGAAAATCAACTGTAGAGATAATTTTGCACATTAGATAAATAATAAAATAATGCGTGCATCAAATACGTAATGCAATTGATTCATTAGTATTAGTCTACGTCATGCTAGGTATTTTATAAAGGGAATATTTCCCCATTGAAACAAAGTTTTATGTTCATCGACATTTTTTTTAATTGGATCATTTCATTATTTTTAAGCATATTTTACTAGAATTAGTCCTTCAAGAAATACGTTCCGCAACAGCCCAATCACCTTCAACGTGTCAAAAAGTAAACTTTAATAATATATTTAGAACTGGAAAAATCGAATAGTTAATAATAAACACTCAACGAAAAGCATACGTAAATGAAGTGAATTATTGGTGTTGACTCAGGACCAAAATTGTACACTATTTCGCTGTAAACAAATTTTTTGAGACGAAATATCCACATTTCCGAGGATAAATAACAGTAAAACATTTACCAGTAGAAACGGGCGCAGCAGCACCAGCGAGATATCGGTAATCAATACTCGATTAATTTCACAGTATCGGTATAAATATTAACGTTGGTCTAAGACGCTGATAAATAATTTATGGGCAGAATCATCAGGACTTGATATGAGCTACATAATGTAGACAGTCAGGCAAACCAACCATTATTATTAATATTATCATTATAAGTATTATTTTTATAAGAAGCGATTACAATTTCTTAATTTTGATTTTACTTTAATTATCGTGATGTCTCGTTCAATCAGAAATTCAAGGGGAACGTTACATATTGAGGGAACTAAGTAAAAATCTGAAGTGGGCTCAAAACAAAAACAGAACAACAGAACGAAACCATATAAACACGATGATGTACAACAGTCGAAGGCACCACGACAAATACCATAGAAACATACCAGCACATACTTAATACCAACCAAAGGAGCAGAATGTCAGCCTGACAAGCTACAACCTCTTAGCACTACATGTAATTAATATTTCGCAAGTCTGTACGTATTACAAAGCATTCTCGAGGCCTTCCTAACACACCTCATCTAAAATGATAAGGAAGGTAAAATGAGACTGAATCCTTGCGTGAAATGTACCAACTCGGGTAATTACCTAGAGCTATTTAATATTTTAGAGTAACTTCACTGTTAGAGAAATTACCGTTAACGGTATTACCGGCGTTTCAGTGGCCGGTCGGCACGTGAAAAGAAACACCGTGTCGCCGTTTTTACTCTAATTTAACACTAGAAATCCGTAAAACATCTGATAAAAACGGCGAAACAGTTTATTTTCACGAGTCGACCGGCCACTAGAACGCCAGTGGGACCGTTTTTACACCGTTTTTAGCGCATTTTCTCATTTATGGAAAAAATGCACTATTGTGCTCGCCATGTCCGTCTGTCTGTCTGTCCGTCCGTCCGTGACCTCAAGTTTTCGTTGATGAGAAAATGCGCTCTCTGTCACTCACTGCTGTGAGTACTGAGTTATGTTTTTTCTAACAGTGTTGCTCACAAGATCGAGTATCTCTGTCGTCCGGTAGGTAATTCAAGTTAAATAAAGCCCGTCATAATGCCGAGCCTGGTACAAAGCCGCAATTTATGGCCGCCCAGACCCAAACAAATGACCGCAGAGCAACAGAGTTACTGCGGTATTTGTAGGGTTGTCTTGCTGCCTCTTACATGTCATCATAATGATATAGTCATCATTATCATTAGTGTACGTCAGCAGGTGTGTCTTGCTTCCTCTTACATGCATCGTAATGATAGTCATCATTATCATTAGTGTACGTAGGTTTGTGCTGTAGATGCGGCCTCTTACATGCATCGTAATGATAGTCATCATTATCATTAGGGTACGTAGGTTTGTGCTGTAGTTGCGGCCTCTTACATGCATTGTAATCATAGTCAACAATATCACTGGTGTACGTAAGCAGCTTTGTGTTGCAGTTGCAGTCTCTTATTTTACATGCATCCTAATCATAGTTAAAATAATCACTGGTGTACGTAAGTAGGTTTGTGCTGCAGTTGCGGCCTCTTACATGCATCATAATCAAAGAATAATCACTTGTTTCAGTAAGTAGTTTTGTGTTGCAGTTGCGGGCCTCTACATGCATCAAAATCATAGAATAATGACAGGTGTACGTAAGTAGGTTTGTGCTGTAGTTGCGAGCTCTTAAATGCATCATACCGTAATCAAAGAATAATAACTTGTGTACGTAAGCAGGTTTGATCACGGCGCTGAAAGGTTACGCGGTTAAAGATTCATGTGCAATGCTTCAGTTATGGTCGAATTGAGAAGGTTCGTGCATCACAATTAAATTTGCCTGGAATCATTTCTTCGATATTCTCTTACCCTATGAAAATAGTTACGAAAAACATGTAAATATGCAACCAAGTTAGCTTACGGGGACCCAAATTATATATGTTCACACATCAGCAACACCAATAATTTAAAAATTAGTCATTGATTAAATTTTCTATGAATATATTCCTTATAAATTTTACTTAGCATCTTGAAGCCAAGTCCGCCAATTAATTGCACGGAATTAAAATATCGTCAAAAGTATTCCTAAGAAAGAGGAAAAAATCAATTAAGCGCACAGATTAACTTAAGTAACTTAACTTTCCTAGTCTAGGAAAATAACTTTTTCGGTTTATTCCGCCCGCGCAGAGAACCACTCTAGGAACTTCCAAGATTATCCCTCACGGCCTCCTACCCATCTGCCTAGAAAAAGACTTGAGTTCGCATCATCTTTTATCAACGATTTCCTACCTCATTACCAAACAAACATTTCTCGTAATAAAACGGGTGATGTTTCTGTTCAAAGTTTGTAAGGAGATGGCAAGTTTATTTATCCAGTTCAAATAAATGTTGAATCAAAATTTTACCAACCTTAGTGGTGTTACTTAATGCGCCACGGTTAAAAAAAGTTTTCTTTGGGATTAATTGGAATATCTTGTTTCTACCAAAAAAAAAAACAACAATATAAATCAAGGAAATTTAGATAATGTTTGATTTGTAATAAACTAAAATTTTATTTTTCCAAACATTGAACATAAAGGAGTTTGTCACCGTCAAGCAGACCTGAAAATTCTTTATAATTGGGAGAATAGGAAGGAATTGGCAGAAGGAATGGGATCAAAAATTGAAATTTGATTTTCCATGATGATTAATTGATTTTGGTAAATTGATTAAAATTATGACTGGTAATATCGATACGGTTGTACATATTGCACAATCGCTTTTTCTAAAAAAATATGTATGAACAGCCTAAGCTATAGCTAATTAACTTGAAAAAGTTCTACTCCGAAGGTGATTCGATTGGCAGACCGTAGGTATTTATTTTCAACAACCTATCACAATTGGCAATCCATGTAGGTATAACGTTATTAAAACTTTAGCAAATTCGTCACCGAAAGCAGCTAGGGATTAATACTAATTATCAAAAAGAAATCAGATTACACCGAAATGAATGACCGCGCAGCAGTAGGTTCGATGACATTTGAATTAATTATTCAGATATACCGGTAATTGAATTCTAATTGAAGCTCTGGAGACAGCAAAGAACCAACAACTCGAGGGCAGAAACTTCGTTGGCAATGACCAGCATAATGACCACCCAGGGTTGGTATTATTATGAATAAAAGCCAGGATATTAACAATGCGAACAATAAAAAAAAAATTTGACAATGTCTAAGATGCGACGTGAAAAAAAAAACAGATATGATCGTTAAGAAGGCACAGTCAGTCGTTAAATCGACCTACAATAGGAAAAAAAATTGTTATGCGACTCGTTATATGAATATTCTATTTGAGAGGTGGAAAGAAATCACAGTATAGTTCAACCAACTCCTGGAAACAGTAGTAAACAGTAGTCAACAGTAGTCAACCAACTCCTGGAAAAATTTTACGGAATGAAGAGTCGAGTACGTCTCAAAGGAGCTGTACGGCCCCTGCCGTACAGCTCCTTTGAGGTACAGGTACAGCGTACCTAAATAAATCGACTGGAGAATGGCTTTACGAAAAATATTTGGGCGATATCGCCACTAAAATTTCATTGAGTCGCACAGGCGGAATTCGTAACCGCGTATGACTGTCCAAAAAATTCAAAAATAACAGCCAAGTATAAATAAATTCAATAAATTAATTAGACAATCCAAACAGCTTTGTGACTAAAACTATTAAGGCTAGGTTTTCATCACATTAACCAACGACAGCGATGTTTATATACAGTGGGGGGAAATAAATATTCGTACACTTGAAAAATCGTATTTTAATGTATGTAAGTACACAAACTGAACAGGAGAAGTGATTTATATTATGTATAGAGGCGCATTGTAAGTTTGTGTACTTACATACATTAAAATACGATTTTTCAAGTGTACGAATATTTTTTTCCCCCACTGTAGATCAATACGGATAAATATATTCTCAACCCAGAAAATGAAACTACATCAGAGTATTTTGCAAACGAGGTCATAGTACCCGGTACTCGTACAAAGAACTGATACGTTATAGCAACACAAAATCAACGTATAAGTCGAGAGAAAGCTCATCCAACACGCCAGAAAGCATAATTGTATGCCATGTTCGACATGTTGCTGGTATTTATGTAGCCGCATTAATGGTTCAAGTTGCAAGACTTGGATCACAGAAACTTGGAAGAAGGCGGGTCAAGAGATTACTTCTGATATTTGATCGCCAGTTGAGTTCATGACATTTTAGTCATGAATAGAAATTGACAGAAAAATTCTGAATTATGATATAATTGTCATTCCTTCTGATCATTTACATAGGAAAGTTAAGGGAAGTAGAAGCACTATTCATTATAGAAAGGAATGGATTGATT